CCCCTGGTCGGCGGACTGGGGGGAGGGGGAGCAAAGCGGCAGAACACGCGGGCAGCGGACAGCCCAGTCGCGTCTGGGCTGCCCGCGTGCTCCGTGGATTTGCTCTGCTTTGCTCCCTCTCCCTGGTCTACTGGAGACCAGGGAGAGGGAGGGCCCCGTTCGTAAGTGCGGATCCGACTTAAGTCGGATCCGCGTAACTCGGGGACTGCCTGTACTGACTTCCACTTCTGGACCTGCCACTCCAACTCAGTTTTGACATCAAAAACATGAAACCAAAAAGAGCGAATCACACTGGTTTGTGTTAATACTTGTCTTTTTCTTTGCCTAGTCTCACTTATGTTGAGGACTCTTAAAGATCAGAGATCACTCTTTCTATGGCAACCTTCCTCTTTCCTCCTTTAGGGTTTCTTACACAAACACGTTTCCTAAGGTCAAAATACCACCTCTCAGTTTTGACATCAAAAACATGAAACCAAAAAGAGCGAATCACACTGGTTTGTGTTAATACTTGTCTTTTTCTTTGCCTAGTCTCACTTATGTTGAGGACTCTTAAAGATCAGAGATCACTCTTTCTATGGCAACCTTCCTCTTTCCTCCTTTAGGGTTTCTTACACAAACACGTTTCCTAAGGTCAAAATACCACCTTGGAGGTTAGGTTTATTTACAGAAAATAAACTCAAAAGAAAACTCCAAATCACAGTTCCACAAATTTTCCTCTTACTTCTAGACTTGACTGATCTGTTCAGGTGGAAATTCTCTCATTTGCTCACAGTCTCTCCTCCTCAGCAGATTGCAATCTAGGGAGGTCCAGGAGTAGTCTCAAAGCCAGATCCCAGAACTTTGCTAGAACCCTATTCCTATCAATCTCTGCTTTCCCTAATCATCCCCCAGCATAGTCTGAACAGTACAAAAAACACACAACCCCGGTGTCTCTCACCACACCCCAGCTCTCCACCATAATCCTGAACTCTGTAAATCTCCCATCATTATAGAATCATAGAATACCATTTAAGAAACCTCTAGAGTTCATCAAATCCAGTCCCCCTGCCCTCATGACAACCAAGCACCATCCAGATCATCCCTAACAGATGTATAACCTACCTGATCTTAAATATCTATGGAGATTCCACATCTTCCCTAGGCAATTTCCCCAGTGCTTAATCACCGTGGCAGTTCTCTCCTCCAAGTAACACCCATTAACGTACTTGAAAGCTGCTATAATTTCCCTTTTCAATCTTCTCTTTTCCAAACTGAACAAACCCAATTCTTTCTGTCTTTCCTCAAAGCTCATGTTTTCTAAACCTTTCATCATTTTTGTTGCTCTTCCCCAGACCTTCTCCAATTTCTCCGCATCTTTCTTGAAATGCGGTGCTCAGAACTGGACACGGCACCCCATTTGAGACCTAATCAGCGCAGAGTAGAGGGGAGGACACTTCTTGTGTCATGCTCAGAACACTCCTGTTAATGCATCCGCACCCCATTTGAGACCTAATCAGCGCAGAGTAGAGGGGAGGACACTTCTTGTGTCATGCTCAGAACACTCCTGTTAATGCATCCTAGAATCCAAGTGTCACACTGTTGACTCATTTAGCTTGTGGTCCACTATTATCTCTAGATCCCTTTCTGCAGTACTCCTTTCTAGACAGCCATTTCCCATTCTTTATATGTGTAATGGATTGTTCCTCCCTAAGTGGAGTTCTTGGCATTTGTTCTTATTAAGCTTCATCCTGCTTACCGCAGACCATTTTTCCAGATTATTTTAAATGATTAAATTGCTACCCTCTAAATCAATTGCAACCACCAATAGCTTGGTATCATCCATGAACTTTAAAAGTGTACTCTCTATGCCAATATCTAAATTGTTGATGATATAGAACAGAACCGGTCCCAAAACTGATCCCTGTGGAACCTCATTTGTTATGCCCTTGCAGCATGACTGTGAACTACTCTGAGAACAGTTATCTAATCAATTATGTACCCACCTTATAGTATATAATACTACATTGTATTTCCCTAGTTTACTGATAAGGTCAGTAAATGCTTTAGTATCAAATGCTTTATTAAAGCCTCTCTATCTCTCTGAAATCTCTTGAATCGGTTAAGATTTTGCCTTGGACACCTATAACTGATGAGTATGTAAATGGGAAATTAGGCCAATTCTGGCAAGGTACATTTTCTGGCAACGGATGCACATGAGGTCTCTATCTCCATCAGCATGGACAACTAGTGGCATCAATGTGGGTTCAGGCACGTGCCTTGCATCAGGCTCTCTGATCTTTGTGGAGATATTGCTTGATCTCAAAGTGTCGGTGTAGCAGTCTCATGCTGTGGGTGGTCTTGCTGCTTCCCCTTAGCCAGTCTCAGAGCCCTGTCGCAGGGTCAGATGGAGCGAACAAACAGTCGCAGTTTATAGGCCTGGGCCCTGGTTCAGGGCAAAGGACAAGCAAACAAACAGTAAGGTCCAAAGGATCCAAGGGCATAGGCCTGTCTGCAGGCTGAGCTGGAGTTGGGTCTCCTTGCTGGTGAAGAGCCTATAGGTGCAGGTGGTTTCTCTCTTCAGGGGGGAACCTGCCACCTGAGGAAAAAGGGGAGCAGGGATCTGGGGGGGAGAGGAGGCAAACAGACACAGGCCTACCCGCACAACTGTGTCCCAGCCCAGAGCCTTACCAGTGGCAGAGCTAGCTGCCTCCAGGTCAGCGGGGCTCTTGTCCACAACACACCAGTCCGGTCAGTGGGCTAGCAGGGGTCCAAGCTGCAACCTGCAGTCCAGCTGACCTCCATGTCCTCGGTCAGCACTAGATTGGCTCCCCCTGGACTACTTTCCAGTCCCCGAGATCCTACATTGCTCTAGCTCTGGTAGGCAGTCTCTGCAGGGGTCAACTAGGTTCCTCCTGGGTTGGTTCAAGCAGAGGTCCTGGGGGCCCAGCACATTCTTCGGGGCCCTGTCTGTGTCCTGGGGGTCCAGGGTAGGCCTCAGGCCTTAGCAGGGGTCTCTGCAGCCTTTTGTAGTTACGGTGCTCCCACAGGGGTTGCAGTGGCCTCAACAATCCCCGGGACATGGCAGTGGTTCAACCCAATCATCCCGCGGGGGTTGGCGGGCTAAGACTCTCCATTGCCTCTGGAACTTCGACCGAGCCTTCTCCCTGCTCGGCTTCAACTGAGCTGGGAGCCCCGTATTACATTTCCGGCCCTGTCCTTTTGCTTCCTGTGGCTGGGGTCGGAGCCAGGGCACACTGGCACTGTCCACCAAGGAGTTTTTAGGGGAACTTCCTCCTCTGGGTCATCAGGAGGCCATGCTGCCTCCTTAAAGTCGGGCATCAGGTTACCCAGTCCTACACATACCTCTCCCAGGTGTCAGTATCAATGCCACACTCTACTAAAGTGTTCTTAAGGACATCTCTGTAGCACTGCTTCTGCCCACCATGAGACCTGAGCGTAGAAAATCTATTTAGGTAAGCATGCGTCAGACATCCTGACCACGTGACCAGACCGTCATAGCTGCCTGTGGCAATTATTGCCTTGATGCTGTGAGAATCAGCCTCTGTGAGGACACTAATGTTGGTCCATCTGTCCAGCCACATGATGCCCAATATTCTCCTCACATACCTTTGTTGGGATTTCTCAAGATCTTCAATATGTTGTCTATATAGAGTCCAGGCCTCAGCATCAAAGCCCTTCTAAATGGAGTACAACCCTTTGAAACCCCCAAAGACCCACTGCTGGGAAGATTATTTTTACTAGAAGAGCATCTCCCACATATCTCATAAATCTTCTAGGTCCAGCTCTCCAACCCTGGAAAGGTCAGCAGATAGGCTCTTCCCCTAGCCTTCCAGGTTGGGTATGCCAGCCAACAAATCCCTCTTGCTGCTCTCCTGCCTTGAGCCTTTTCCCCAGGAAGGCTTGCTTCCTTCTGGGATCTTTTTGGAGTGCTCTGTGTCCTTTCTGTCTGAACTAATCTACACTGACTCACCAGGACTCCCTCTTCTGACTTCAGGGATTTCCCCTCATTGGGTATTTTCCTGATCTTTTACAACTGCTAGGTGCTGCCTGCCCTCTCAGTTGGCCAAATGGGATCACCTGTTCTGGCACAGGGAGCTAGACCTACTTCATTCAGTGGAATCAGCCACATTCTGACAGGTTTTAAATAGGATTAAAAAAACCAAAACACTTTGAAGTGCCATGCAAAGTAATGGCATGACAATGTAATTTTTTATTAAATGTGTAACACACCACCTCCAGTAGTCAGTAAACTGGCATCTTTCCAACTTGCCTACACAAGGTTTAGGAACAAAAATTATGGCTTATCTGTGGAGGCTAGATGTAGGTAGGTATCCAAAAATGCTACAGAGATTATGTTAGAAGCAAAATTAAAAAAAGTTGCCTGTCTCACTCCCCTATCCCCCAATCAAAAAAAATCCTCAAATCTAAAACCAACCACTCCCCACCCAAACACATGCATAGCATACCTGTTGGAAGTTCTTGTGCAAACTTGTAAGCAATAGCTGCAGCCCATTCTGGATTTACTATAGATAACAGGTAGGACTGAATGGTTTCCACAGTTTTGGCAGTTTCCTTGTTAATCACTGAAGAACATCCAGCATTTTTCAATTCAATTATTTTTGGCTTCAATTTCTTTTCAAAGACATGCCTGGCTGCAGACATGTATAGGGTATCCAGTGAAACCTAGAAGATTATCAGGTCCAGTGTGTGTGTGTGTGTGTGTATATATATA